CTTTGGCCACCTTCAGGGCTGGGAGAGGTGGAGTCAGCCCAGCCACCTTAGGGGGAAAGGCGGAGTACAGTAGAGTGTTTGCTTCCCCAACACCATGGCCCCCTCCCATCCAGTTCTTTCTGGTGTGGCCCTGAGAAAGTGGGAAGCTGGGGAGGTAGATGGTCATGAGAAGGGATAACTCTCCCCGCCTTGACAGGGCCTGCCTGGATAGTGCCTGGGGAGAGAGTCCTGGCTCTGTGATCCCTGAGCTGACCCCCTTGGAGCCCCAGAGACAACTGAGGAATTGGTTCTTGCCAGACACCAGACTGTTCTTCAGTAGCAACCACAGATGAAAGAATGGATAGATGGATGGAGGAAGGTTCTCCTGTGTGTATGTATGTATGTATGTATGTATGTGTTCTGTGTGTTTGATTCATCAGGAAGTACAATCTTTGTTTCTCTACCTTCCTAGCCCCAGGCCCCGGCCTCACCTCCCCTTGTCTCTCTCTGTATCTCCTGTCAAACCATCGCAGACTTAAATGACAAAGAAATCAGAAAGACAGATCAATGCTGGCCAAATTAGCACTTGCAGATAGACTGTGCGGGGATGTCAGCGCCCTGACCCCTGGTGATCTTGCAGCCTCCGCTGCTGATATTATGCAAATTGCATCCATCTGGCAGGACCTGCGTGCTGGCTGCTCGTACTCAGAGGAGTAATGGGCTGGGGGTGGGCGGGAGTGTTGGAGCAAGAGTCAGTGGAGTGTGTGCATGTGTGTGCATGTGTGAGCATGTGTTTGAGTGTGTGTGAGGGCGTACAGTGCCTACCAAGCACTGGGCGGTGATTGAGTGATTGACAGGGCAGATAAGGGACTGCATTGGATTCCTTTGGGCTGGGGGATTAGGAGCAGCCACAGATGGGAGATAACTGGACTTTATTTCAGTTTATTTTCCTCCTTATCCCCTCTCCCCACCTTCACTTCCCGAAAAACACAATCTCTCTAGTTTGTGTTTTCATCAATATTTGCAAGTCATTACCACTGGTTTAAGGTGAGAGACAATGTCAGGGCCCAGACCAGGCCAGCCCCTCCCCCAGTCCCTGGTACCCTGAGAATCAATCCCTAGAGCAGCACAGACAGCCTTCACTCCAGTGGCGTTCACAGCAGCCCCTCCTTTCAGGCCTGCAGTACTCATGGGACGATCCACACCTCATGGGCCAGCCCTGCCGACCTACCGCATCTGACCTAATGCCAGCTGACATTCCTTAAGCTGGGCCCCACCCCTCCACCTGCAGCTGCTGTGGGACAGCCCTCCCTATGCTTTGGCTCCAGCGTAGGTGCTCTGCCCTCGGCATTAGCTGTGCCTCCTGGGGCTGCCCCTACTCTTCTGCAGGGTTCTGGACCCTTCCTCTTAGCTCCTCCCATCCTGGAGACTACTGATCAGGCCTAAGCCCCACTGGGCAAAGTGGGGCCTGTGGAGAGGAGAATTTGTTCACTCTGGTCTGAATCATACCAGTGTCATTCTACGTTTGCTGAGTGGCAGGTATTAGTACAGAGGGCTTTATATCTGTTCTCTCATTGAATTTTCAAACCTTGTGTTAAGGGCTGTCATCTCTACTGCATGTGAGGAAACTGAGGCTCCACAAGGTTGTCATGACTGAGAGCTACTCAGCAAGGAAGTGAGAGAGCAGGAATTTGAACACAGATCTCTCCTAGTCTAGGGTTTGAGTTCTTCACCTCCATGAGTACTGCTTTACTGCCATTCTCCCAGCTGCAGGTATTCAACATGCCACCACGCCTGGATCCGTTTAAGTGAGCCATCCTTGTACCTGAGGCAGCCAAGTCCCTTCAGCTGCTAGCCTGTGAACATACACCCTGACTCAGACCTCCTGCCCAAGCCAGGCTGAACCAGGCCAAAGGGGAATGGAGTCAAACAGGCCCTGCTTTCAGGAGCTGTGTGTCTGAGACAGTTGGGCTGTAGCAAGAAGGACACACAGAGGACAGAATGCACCCAGCAGCTGAGCCAGCTCAGGAGAGTGTCCCAGCACATGGCATCCAGGCCCATGTAGCTCAAGGAGAGGGGCTGGTGCAGCCCAAGCCAGCTAGCTGTGGTGGCTGAGGGTATAGCTGTCCCAGAGGCCCCTCCAAAACTGGGTCCCTGCTGTACCCTCCCACCAGGCAGGGCTGGGAGCTGGGAGTGCTGGGGACATGTCCGGGGACACGTGTGCAAGGGGAGCTTGTCCTAATGAGGAGAACATGGCTGCTAGTTAGGCAAGGGGCGGGCGGGGAGCCGCAGAGCTGATTGAAGGCAGGGGCAGGGGTCAGACAATTAGGCCCAGATCCTGCCGTTTGATGTGAGTTCTGAGGCCTCAAAGCCTCCCTTCAGCCGGCTCCCTCCACTCCCTCCTCTCCCTCCTCTTTCCTTTCTTCTTCTGCCCAAAGGCAGGAAGGATGGAAACGCTTACACTCACTGTTACTATTATTAAACCCTGCGGCAGGCCAGCCAGACCCCAGGACTCCTGCCCACAGGGGGCACCCCAGGCCCCCAGGAGGTTTCCTTGGGCCCCACAGGGGGCATCTGGCCAGAGGCCAAGGCCAGGCCAGCTGAGCCCCAGGGCAGGGTAACCCTGCCCCTCTTGCTTCTGAGGCAGGAGAGTGAATGGGGCCACCCCCGGTAGGAATTGGGCTCTGGGCTATCAGGGCCACATCCCAGGCCTGCGTTTACCATCACCTCCTGCAGCCGCTTAGTTCTTTTCTATCCTGGCCTGGGGCTGAGGGTAGAGGGCATGATTCATTCACGCTCATATCCCGTGACACAGTGATCTGCAGCAGTCGCATCAAGACCTTTTGCCACAAAATGGAGGTAACATAGAGCCTCGAAGCCCCACAGCACTGTCACACACCCGAGAGCAGACCCCCACACTAGATACAGCCACACATACCACCACGGACCCTATCCACAGGGTCTTGCACAAAAGCCCCTACTGTCTCCTGCCACAGGGCCCTGAGTTCTAAGCTCCTCTCCCAGATAGCCAGGAATAGCAGTTAGATCTTATATCCAGGGTTGGGGATTACCAGGCGTCTTCCAGTTCCCCAGACCTAGGAAATAAGCCTAGAGAGTTGGTAGTGACCAGGGAGTGGGAGGAAGCTGGATTGGGGGGGCAGTGGGGAGAGGGAGGGTGGGAGCAGAGATAAATGTTAGCTCATTTCTTCCGTAATTAGTTACTCCCTCATTCCCACGTTGTAATTGTGAACAAGCTGTAATGTTTAATTAGTCTGTAAATGAAACCCCAATTTCATAATGGCCTGGCTGACAGGGCTAAGTGAGCAGGGGAGGAGGAGGAGGAGGGGACTTTTCCTCCCCTCCTCCTGCAGGGTGGGGGCAGGCTGTGGGATTACCTCCTTTTCCTTTCAGCCCCAGCCCGGCCTCTATGGGGGGAGGCTATGTGATGGGGTTCAGTCCTACACTGTCACTGTTAATATTTCTTCCACGTGCCCATCTTACCAGAGGAAGGGGAGAGGAGGCTCTCAGGCATCCTTCCTGCTTCCCCGTCACTCTTTGGTTGGAATAGGACAATCAGCCCAACCTTCTGGTAGGAGAAGCTAACTCCCGTGGCCAGACCTTGTGATCTCAGCGAGGATGATGCTTCCTCCCTGGAGGCCTTTGCTTGGAACCTGGCACCTCAAGATCTCGCCCTATACTCGGAAAGGAGCCGGTGATTGGTTTAGGCCCCTCCCAGACCCCTACAGTCCCACTGCTAGGCGGGACCTAGCGCTTCTTTGCCCAGTGCTGATACCCAGGCCGCCCTTAACTCTCCGCAGAGATTATCACTGCAGCCTGCGATAAACCGGAGCTGCCGCAGGGGGGAGCCCCTGGCCCCGCCGCTGCCTTATTGGTCTCTCCCTGTCTCCCCCGCAACATCCTCATCGCCTGCACACACCCCCGCCCTGCCTGCCGCAGCCATAAATCTCAATTTACGAGGGTGGCTCTGGTGGGGGAGGGAGGCAGCACCGCTAATGATGGCTCCTCAGCCGGATTTTTCATGTTGCACAGTCATAAATTTTTAAGAACAGCATGGGCAGCACGTTAGCGAGTTACCGAGGCTGCCTCCGTGCTGGCTGCCTAGCTCCGAGAGAGAAGAGCGGAGGCCGGGTAGGGCTAAGAAGGTATTCTGGGGCAGGGGTGAGTCAGGGCAACCAGAGGAGTCTGAGGCCAGGGTGAGACAGGGCCAAGTGGACGGGCTAGGGCTACGGTGAGTCTATGCACAGGGCAAAGTAGTGCTGCCGGCTGCCGGGAGCCAAGATCAGGCACGTGGGTGGGATCAGGCATCGTGGGCATGCAGACCATGGCCTTCGGGAGCCCCTGATGGATGCCTCTGCTCCAAGACTCGACACTATGATGTACAGGGAGCCTGGAGACATATGGATTTTCGAAGTGGCAACTTTGAATAGAATTACAAACCCTGAACCTGTGCACAGTGAGGCCTCTGTCTTGGCAGAGCTGCACCTAGTTCATAAACCAGGTGCCTTTTAGGATCGTTCTAGAGAGCTAGGGTCCCTAGGGAAATGCCCACAGAAAGAGCATATCTCTGGGTATGCTGGAGCCTGGAACTGGGCTGACATCATTCTGTTTAAGGCTCATGCCTTCAAGGTTGAGTAGTCCTAGGTAAGTCATTCACCATCCTGGGCCTCTATTTCTTCTTCTTTAAAATGGGGTTGATGATGGCCCCTGTCAGGCTCACTGGACACAGAACTGTAAAATCGTTGACTTATGTTTGCTCCTTTATTTAAATTTCTAGAAAAGTTTTCCTTCTTTCTTTCTTTCCTTTTCTTTTTCTTTCTTTCTTTCTTTTTTTTTTTTTTTGCTCACTCACCGCAACCTCTGCCTCCCAAGTTCAAGTGATTCTCCTGCCTCAGCCTCCCAAGTAGCTGAGATTACAGACATGCACCATCACGCCTAGCTAATTTTTTGTATTTTTAGTAGAGATAGGGTTTCTGCATGTTGGTCCGGCTGGTCTTGAACTCCTGACCTCAGGTGATCTGCCCACCTCGGCCTCCCAAAGTGCTGGGATTACAGGCATGAGTCACTGTGCCTGGCCTTCTAGAAAAGTTTCTGAGGGAAGTGTGTGGGAAAAAGATCTTTGTGGGAGATGATGGGGCCTTGCCTGTGTTAAAAATCATTCATTCAGAAAATGTTTGTTGAGGTCTTCTGAGTGCCCAGGCCAGTGCCAGGGCTTCAGAGGTGAGGAATGCTACTTCGTGGGAGGTGAAATGAGTACTTTGGGCTGAGGCAGGTCAATGTTCTCAGCCACGTTCCTGGTTCCACCACAGGGTTAAGTTGCCAGATCCAACCTGTCCTTCCATGGAAGCATCTAAGCCTTCAGGATGCTCAGAGGCTCACGTAGATCTCCTCACAAGTCCCCAGGCCAGGTGCTCCCCTGAATTCCCTGACCTGCACAGTTGAGGGTTAATGCTCTTGACAACCTCAAGGGTGGACAAGTAGGAATCCAGGAGTCCCTGAAAGAGGTGGGCCTAGCACGAGGGACAGCCTCAGAAGGCCACAAGTACAAGGTCAAGAAATCAGCAGTTGCTCAAGTCAGCAGAGGTGGTAGGAGTGTGTATTGGAGGTGGTGAGTGAAAAATCCTGTGTTAAAGAAATGTGTTTTGTTTGGCTTATATCCCCAAAGCATAGCACGGCGTCTGACATGGGTAGGCAGATAGTAAATAAAATGTGTTGTTTTGCATTGAGTTAAATTGAGTTGAGATGGCCCTGGCCCACCCCTGGGTGCCAGGGCAGGGGGAGGAAGCTAGGAAAGTGCCTGGAGCTGAGGTGGTTTCCATTAGTCCTCCCTGGCGATCCATCAGAACCGCTTGATCATTTAGGCAGAAGAGAGTCCCCACTCTGAGACTTGTTGGCTTAGGGGAAAATCCCCTGTCTACTTATGCATAGACTCACAGCCTCTATCTTCTCCTGGCCTCTCCTGCCCCCCTTAAGCCACTCTCCTCCTGCTCCCTACACTCCACACCCTTCCCTCATCTCTTGGAACCTGCCACACCTTCTTTTACCCCAGTGCCTTCCCATGTGGCTTTATTTCCCCCCAGAGTCCCATATTCCCACCCCATAACCTTATTAACTCCTGCTCATCTCTCAGAGCTCAGCTTAAAGTTTGCTTCCTCAGGAATGTCTTCCCTGACTCCTAGACTTGATCAAGTCCCCCTCTCCCCGTGTACTTTTCCACAGCACCCTGCTCTCCCCAATTTATAGCATTTAATCACAGTTGTAATTAAGAAATTGTTTGAAAGTTGTTTAATGCCTGTATCTCTCACTAGATTATAAGTTCCCTGAAGGCAAGAAACGTGTTTTATTTGGCTTATATCCCCAAAGCATAGCACAGTGTCTGACACATGTAGGCATATAGTAAATGAAATGTGCTGTTTTGAATTGAGTTAAGTTGAGATGGCCCTGGCCCACCCCTGGGTGCCAGGGCAGGGGAAGGCAGCTAGGGAAGTGCCTGGAGCTGAGGTGGTTCCCATTAGTCCTCATGATTAATTCACAGCCACACTGTGATGGAGTGGGCTTGTCCCCAGTCAGCGCCTCCGCTGGGGCCCACCTGTTAGCGACAAACAAACAAAGAGGATAAATAATGCATTGGGAGCTGAGCCAGGCAAGGCGGTGGTATTGAAATTAATAGGGATTAGCTGAGCAGCTTGAGGATGAAATATTTACCAGGTGGGACAGGGCTTAGGGAGGGCATCCCCCCTTCCCAGAGTCCCTAGGCATAGCTAGGCCCTTCTCCAGGGCATCATTGGCTAGGACTGGGGAGCCCCAGTACCACCACTGCCACCCTGGCTGCCTGGATTTGCAGGACAGGCTGGCCAGACAAATGAAAGCTCAGGTTCCAGCCAGTCTCCTGACACAGTGAAGTCCTGGAGAAACCAAGATGCTAGAAGGGAACGGAGGTAGGGAAGGGGCTGAAACCTTCAGGGCTTTGGAAGCTAGAGACAAAGACCATGACAGGGTTTCAGGGCCTGGACATGTCAAGGCTTTGGGTGGCAAATGTCAGGAGTAGGTTTGCCTGTGATCTTACCCTTTTTTCTTTTCCTCTAGTCCTTCCTTTCTTCTTTTCAGTGTGTGTTTACTGAGGGTCTCTGTGTATAACATCTGTGCCCTCAAAGAGTTCATGGTCTAGCACGAGGTGAGGGAGAGGCAGTTAAGATACGTGAAGAATTGGCTGCTGTGGGAGCACACAGAAGGGGTTTCTAACACAGAGGTGTGATGGAGGGAAGGCACCTAGAGGAAGTGCTAGGAAGCCTCGGTTCTGAGAGGAGAGGGCAATGAGCCAGGTGAGAAGTGGGGAGCAGTTTTCCAGGCAGAAGGCATAGGACTTGAAAACCCAAGGGGCGAATGAGCCTGAACTTGGCTGTATAACGGGAAAATGGGAATGATGAGACCAGAGATGTAAAGAGGTCCAGAACCCAGACTTTTATAAAGGGGTTTGAATGCAGTGGGAGCTGAGTCAGGCAAGGTGGCAATATTGAACTTAATAGGGATTAGCTGAGCAGTCCTGAGAGCAGCGAGGAGCCACCGGAGGTGGTGCTGGTGGTGGTAGTTTTAATTTTTGACTCTTAAACTTTTTACTTAGGATTAATTTTACATTTGTAGGAAAGTTTCCATGTATCCCTCACCTGGCTTTCCCTCATGTTAACATCTTACTTAATCACAATACAATTGTCAGTACCAGAAAATTAACATTGGTACTGTGCTACATTAAAGGCCTTATTAGGTCAGGTGTGGTGGTGCACACTTGTAATCCCAGCTACTTGGGAGGCTGAGGCACCGGAATTGCCTGAACCTGGGAGGCAGAAATGCAGTGAACCGAGATCGGACCACTGCACTCAAGTCTGGGCAACAGAGAAACCCTGTCTCAAAAAAAAAAAAACAACCTTATTTTAATTTCACTAATGTCCTTTTTCTGCTCCAGGATCATTGAAGGGTTTTAAGACAGGGAGTGAAATGACCAGATTGGTGGTTTAAAAGGACACCATGGAAGAAAGATTGGCAGGGGAACTGCTGTTACCTAGATGAGAGATGATGGCGGCCTGGACCAGGATGGCGGTTATAGGAATATGGGCTTAGAAATTATTGTAAAATATATGGTAATTAGACGCCCAAGAGTGACAAGTTTGCCCGAGGTGGGGGGTGGAGAGAGTGAGAAGGGAAGAGGACCAATGGCAGCTCTGAGCAACACCCTTATCTAAGACGTGGTCAGAAGAAAGGGAATGTTCACAGGACCCAAGGAGAATTGCATGGAAAGTGACGGTGGGTCACTGAAGCCCAGGGAAGAGAGCTTCAAGGAGTGGACTGTTCACCAATTGTCCATCAATCAAAACCTGATAAGCTTCATCCTCATGAGTCATAGGGATCATTAGAGAAAGCAGTGTTGGTAAAGCAGTGATCAGATTGCAAGGCAGGAGACAAGGAAATAAGATCTTGAGTGTAAACAACTCTGAAGTTCGCCTCTAAAAGGGAGGAGAGATTGGGCACTAGCCAAATGGAAAAGGGAGTTAAAGGGAGATGTTTTTACTACCAAGATGGAAGAGAGTTAATATATTTACATGCTTATGTGAAGGAACCAGTGCAGAAGAAAAAAGTGAAGCTGTATCAGAGGAAATAGAAATAATCAATAATATAAGGACCTTGAAAAGGCCTGGATTTTGGGTTGGACCCTACCCAGGTGGAATGGAAGGGATGGGCTTAGAAAGTGACATCAGGCTTGGCCCTCTCTTGTGACAAGATGAGAGGACTGGAGCAGACTCAGGAGAGTGGCTTCTGTGTGGCTCCTGTGAAGTAGGAGATAAGATGGGTGAGGGGTTTGAGGTTATGTTGAGGGTAGGGGATTTGAGATTTGTGGAACGTGGAGAAACTTGAAATTGTTACTAGGGGTGAAGGGAAAGAGAGTACACACTGATCAGGAACACTGAAGATAGGCTGGGAAGTTTTATATACCAACTGAGGCTGAAGACTCTGATTTTATAAGTGGCACTAGTCTGTATAGTTGTGATTTTCTCTAGTGACATGCTCCAGGTGGCAGGCACGGAGAAGGCAGAGTTTGGGTTTTTCCAGGCAAGGGTGACAAAGAAAAGGTAATACGAGAGTTGAGGATTGGCAAGAAAAAGACTGAAATGATGGACCATGGAATCGAGGCTCCAAAGGCAGACATGTCAGTTATGTTACTAGGACAGAAACTGTGACTTTTCCCTTCCTTTTCACTAAATAGAACTCCTGTATAATTATAGAACCCCTGTGTAATAATCTTTGTGTACCCAGTTAAAAGACTACTGTTTTAGTTTTCTAGACAGCTAGGTACAACCATGTCTCTGAGCTCCAGCCAGTGAAACAAAAGGAAATGTATTATCTGGGACTTCCAGGGATGATACTTAAAGGGGAACAACTCAGCTGGGAAATACACTAGTCTTGCCTTTTCCCATCTTCCCCCTTCCTTTCTCCTGGAATGCAGATTTGATGGTTGGAGCTCCAGCAGCTATTTTGGACTAAAAAATAGTTTGAGGATTGAAAACCATGTGCTGAGAATGGCAGGGCAGAAAGAATTCTGAAGAGTCTGATGCGTTTGTGGAACTGCAGGGCTTTTAGTCAACTTATATTGCAACCATACTCATAAAATGCCTTTCTTAGTAAAGCTGTATTTCTTCCCTCTCTGTTTTCACTTAGGTTTCAGTCTAAACTTGATTCTTTTAGCCTTTTTTGTAACATGGCCTGTGTCCTGAGATACAGCAAGAAACAATTTGATCAAATGTTTCAAGAGAGAGAGAAAAAAAAAGTCGGGGTGTTGGGGGGTGGGGGGCAACTTCCCAGCCTGAAATAGCACTGCCCTCTTTGTCCTTCGGCCTGCCTCCTTTATTCAGTGCGTTCTGTATTATAAGGTCCATTCCTTATGTCCTTCTTCCTGCTGTTAACATTCTGTATCAGTTAGTATACTTTGAGCTGCAAGAAAAACCCCAATTTTAAATATCTTAAATAATAAGGGGATTTATTATCTCACAAAAGAAATTTGGAGGTAAGGCAGATTCTAAGGTTGGTTAATTCAGCATCTCAGCAATGTTATCAAGGACCCAGATTTTTTCCCATTTTTCTGTTCTTTCATCTTCAGCATGGTCTTCACAGGCTAACTCCCCTCAAGATTGGAAGATGGCTTCTGCAGTCCCAGACATTATGTGCAGATATGAAAACATCCAGCAGAATATAAAGGACTGTTTTTCCCTCATGTTTGTCTTCGTAAGAGAGAAGAAATTTTCCTTGAAGGCCTTTCAGCAAACTTACCCTCATGTCTCAGTAGCCAGAACACATGCCCATCCCAAGGGAGAAAGGATCACCAAAAACGACTCAGACCAAAAAGGATTAATTTTGATTACTTGAAGGAGTAGTGGGCTCTGCCAACAGGGCAGAAGGGGGTGGCTGTTGGGTATATCATCAAAAGTGAACAAGGGCCAGGCCTGATGGCTCATGTCTATAATCCCAACACTTTGGGAGGCTGAAGTAGGAGGATCACTTGAGGCCAAGAGTTCAAGACCAGCCTTGGTAACATAGCAAGACCCATATCTACAAAAAAAAAAAAAAAAAAAAAAAAAAATTAGCTGGTTATGGTAGCATACCTGTAGTCCCAGCTGCTCGGGAGGCTGATACAGGAGGATTGCTTGAGCCCAGGAGGTTGAGACTGCGATGAGCTATGACAGAGCCACTGCACTCCTGCATGGGTGACAGAGTAAGACTCTAACTCAAAAAGAAGTGGGCAAGGAAAAATGTGAATACAGGAGAGACAATATATGTGGAGAGAGTAAGGGTATAAATTTTAAGGTTTCAGTGAATGAAAGAAAAAGTATACAGACAGGCATCCCTAATCTGAAAGTCCCAAATCCAGAATGCTCCAAAATCCAAAACTTTTTGACCGCCAACATGACGCCACAGTGGAAAATTATACACCTGACCTCATGTCACAGTCAAAACTTTAGTGCACAAAATTATATAAATTATTATAGAAAATCACCTTCATGGTATGTGCATAAAGAAATATAATTCCATGTTTAAACTTGGGTCCCCATCCCCAAGATATGTATATGCAAATATTGTACAATCTGAAAAAATCCAAAATCCCCAAGCATTTTGGATAATAACCTTGTTATTGTCAGAAACCAGGGATATTTGGATTTAATATTTCAAAGGAAGAGTAGTAGGATGTTTAAAAGGTCGAGTGTGTTACTGTGAAAATGGGTAGAAATTAGGTACCATGGAGAAGACCATTAGCGCTGAAGTCAAAGAACGAAGAGGCCGGCAACAAGATTTCTCAAAGGTCAGGATACAGAGGTTGTGGCAGGCAGGTTTCTCGGGTGGGAGGTGGCCGTGATCTGGATTGATAGTGCGTGCTCACAAGAAAGGCTCCAGATAGGCTGCTAGCACATGTGTCTGGGGCCAAGTCAAAGGTCCTGGTACTTTCCAGCTGCCTAGGGTAGCACAGGCAAGTGGCATAGCCTCTCTGTATCTCAGTGTCCTCATTTTGCAACGAATCTCTCCTGGTAGTTCAGGCCATTCTGGAAGAGGGTAAGGCCCTTACGCCTTCCTATTGGAACCACTACAGGGCCCAGAAGACTGATGTGGCTGCCAGGGATGGCAGATCTGCTCAGCTGTTCTCAGTAGCCAACCCCTCCCTGGCTGGGTTCCCTTCACTTGGCCGTAGGTGATATGGCTATAACCTGGCACTTCTAGCTGTGGCATCCCAGACCAGTAGGAAGGTGAGGCTTCCTGACCCCTCTACCTGGATGGGGCCTTGGCTGGGATTGAGCTGGGGGAGGCAGGCATCCTCTGTAATGGCCAGAGCAGCCGCCCTGTTACTACGGCGTATTTCACTTTTAATTCTGACATATAATGTAATGATCTTTTTTAAGGCCCGATGATATTATCTGCCTGACTAGATTATTGAGTCTTCATCATCTCCAGATAAATTTATGGCCAAGACGAGGCTCAGGATTTATCATCAGTCAATAGAGCTCGATACTCTAACAAGGCGTGTAATAAGATATACATATTTAATGATCCAGGGGAGGAGCACTAACGGGAGCCGAGTGAGTGGTCCATGGGGCTGGGGCTCTGCCCTAGGGTTGCCATGGCTGTGGGGACATGGATGTGATCTTTGCCCTGTGGTCCCCAACTTTGGTCTTTCTCAGGACTGCCTCAGTCTCCTCCTTCCCAAGAGCCTGAGGAAGGGAGAGGTAGGGAAAAGAAGAGGCAGCATCAGGGTCAGGCCAGAGCTGGGGTCCAAGCATCTTCAGCCCAAAGCAGGTACGCACCCCCTGAGAACTCTGCTCCTGCTTCCAGGCCTTGGAAGGGTTGGGGGTGTCCTTAGACCTGTATGCCCAGGCCCCTGAGCATTAGGGCGGGCCCACAAGGGAGGGAGTGCCGGGGCTGCATGCCCAGGCCGCACTGATGGTGACGGATGGTTTTTCATTATAGCCTCTCAGGTCCTGCCCGCGCCCTGTGTGGAAATTCTATTTATTCCCTAATTTGTAAAAATTCCCTCTTTATCTGATCCCAATCAGGGCGGGGTAATTGGCTCTCTGGGGCAGCGGCTGGGGTCCTTGATGAAGAGCTATGTGGATGTACCCAGCCCGGCCCCCACCCAGCCTGCCACCAGGGCCCACAATTAATAATGATTTGCAAATGGCAGACAAGCAATAACACAGAAGGATGTGGCGTCCGTGCTGCCTCTTCATTTCCTTCCCTCGCAGATATAAATGGCCACAGAACAAAAACCCAGCACTATAAATTCTAGAATTAGTTATTCACCGGGATAAATGGGGCCCAGAGCCACCAACCACTCTCCCTGCCACCATTCTTGCCTGCTTCCTGTTATCCAGGTTCTGGCCCCAGGTCTGTTCTTGAGCCTGGCCCCTGGCTCTTCTGTCTCTTTGGCTCCCAGCATAATTCCTCAGCTTCTTCCCACCACTCCAGCTACCACTCCTCCTGTGTGGCCGAGACTTGGGGGTGATCACCTGGTCTGGGCCTGTAGCTTCCTCTGCAGTGGCTGGAGCCAGCAGGTGGGATTCACCCCACCACCTCCTCTTGTGGACCTCCCTGGCTGCCCAAACTTGCTTCTGTCCTCATTCTCTATTGGGTTTGAATGAAGTTGACATGTCCTGCCAGGTCTGGGAGTCTGGATCAGGGTTGGTCTTTGGGTATCATCTCTGGCTTTTGGGACCAATCCTGTCCTTTGCCTGGCCAAATATGAGTTGGGTTCCTGGTGGCCAAATGTGCTGTAAGCAACATAAGGGGTTTGATGCTGTGCTTACTGGTCAGGCAGTTCTGGGATGCTGGCAGAGGGGTTTCCGGGCACCGTGCCCTCCCGGCCAGGCACATCCCCCCCACCCCACCGCCCCCAAGTGGCTGTGAGCTGGCGGGTAATGGGCGTGTAATGGCCTCATTTCCATGCCTGGCCTCCAGGAGCAGCGGTAAGTGTTTGATTGCCTTAATTTCCAAACACATCATTATCCCAGCTTTACCAGCGCTTAATAAACACTTTATGAGGATTTTTTTAAAAACATCTTCGGTCCGCACACTTCTCTGAAGTGATAAACTCTAATTAAGTCTAATATTTAAAAATATGGTAATGGTGAGTTGTTTGAATAAGTGGACTGCATTTCTGTAATTTCATTATTACGTAAAACACGCTAATTATTTGGAGCGCGCTTATTACGGTGAGAGAAATTGCCTGCTAATCAAGATGAAATTGCCTTTTCCCCTTATTGTGGAACCATCGTCATCCTTCACCATCAGCCTGTGGCACCTCCAGGCACCTCGGTGGGGTGGAGGGGGCTGAGGGGAGGGGCTGAAAGAAGGGGTCACTTTGGAGTGGAGGCTATAAGGACCCTGTCTGGGGGAGGGGTAGGAAGCTATGGGAACCATGGCTGTGGGGAGAAGGGAGTGTGTGTCTGGGAGGTGTGTCGGGTGTGCCAAGGTGGCCATGAATGGGGGCTTGGGACTGTGTGGTCCATGTCTGAGACAAGGAACTGGGCGGGCGTGGGGGGATATTAGGATATTGTTGGAATAATATTATTTTTAGATGTTATTGGAATAACAAATAATAACTAACCCAGCTACTGTTTTAAGCACTTCACAAATATTTCATCTTTTTAACAATGCTTTGAGGGAAGTTGTTGCTATAATTATCATTTTAGAGAAGAAGAAACCAAAACAAAGAGACTTAAATAAAATTCAGGAACTTGCTCAAGTTCACATGGTTATTAAATGGTAGAGATTGGATTCAAACTCAGAAGCAGGATATACTGGGGCCCTTTGCTGTGTCAGTCCTAAACTCACTGCCTTGGCCCCCATCTTCCTTCTAAGCTAACATTTGATGCTAAACCTTAAACTACACCCAGCTGTTGGGTCCCCATCACAGGGTTGCCAGATTTAGTAAATACAGGACCACTAGTTAAATTTGAATTTCAGATAAACAGTTTTTTAGTATAAAAAATTATAGTGTAAGTATGTCCTGTATGGAGCTAGGGCTGCATTTAATCTGGCAGTCCTTGTCAAGCAGGCCTAGGCAATGGCACTTTACTCTCAGGGCATTACTGCGGCCAGGATGTCTAGACAGACAGACAGGTTCTAGAATATGGACACACCCAGGGATCCTGCTGTGTTTACCATGCATGGTTCCTGCTCCTTGCACTGTTCTCCGAACCCTCCTTCCAACCCCCCTACCCTATCTCTGCTGGACCCTGTTCCATGGACTGTTGCCCCATTCCTCTTCACGTC